ATGGGAGGTTTGGTTCAGTTAGCCACCGTCCCCGATCACGTCTTTAGTAAGCGTAACTATAACTTATTATAACAGATTTTGGTGAGATGTGGTTATGTAGCCCCAACTAAAGTAAACAAACCCGAGGCGCCTGTAATACGGGATCGGTGGTGATATTAGTTTTTGCAGGTGGGGCCGGGTAAGACACAGGTAACGAGGTCAATAGTTGTATGCAAAGGAAAATCTACTGGGAATGCGCTGTTGTACTTTGAGCTGTACACTGCCACTGTCTCTGATAATGGGTTCAAGCGATAATCCGAAACGTCAGGCGAATAAAGCCCTTGTTCCAACGATTGCTTCTTCTTCTGGTTGAGAAATAGTTGCCCTAACCCCTAATCATACCCCCCTAGCCCTAACCCCTAGCCACAGCCGCAACAGTATTGTATCCATGAGGTGGGGTTACATAACCACATGTTACCCAAATGTACGTTGACAGGTCACCAACTGAGGGATGACTTAGACCCCCTCCAGGCAGTAATGCGGCCCTCATGATAACTCGCCTCAGTCGAAGATCCGAAGTCATTTTATTTGACTTGATGGATAGCTTCGATGTTAACTCACTCGTACTCCGCGCAGCTACGAAAGCGCCTGACCTAGTCGGTCTCGATTTCGGGTGATGATCTGCGACAAAGCACCTCGATAGTCCGACCCATTATCGCCTCCGGTGACTGCGATAGGGTGTAGGAGATCTACAAACCTCCTCCATGTCACGACGAACTGTGTTGAACTAGGTTTTGAGCTGACCACCTCGACACTCCCAAGTGGAGAAGGACGTCAGATAGCGATTAGCAACACCAGGCTCGTGCGGCGGACGACGAACGCGCCCTAACAACCTCAGTCGCCTTTATTAAATGACAAGAGATGTCCCCGCAACGTTGTCACAGCGAGCGCGGACTGAGACGAAGTGCACTTCACTTAAAGGATGATTCCTAAGAAGCGGTGGTAAGCTACAGTAGGTGGGCTAACTCATGAAATATCAACCGAAATTCGGAAACGCCCTTTCTTTTTGAAAAGATTAATTAAGTGGAGTTAAAAATAATCATCCTGCAGCATAATTCTATAATAATTAAGCTATCTCATGATGCCGGCTTTCGAAAGGAGTCCTTTTCGTCTGCATGTAAGAACAGTACTCTGAAAGAATGACTACTTAAGTAGTATGCGTTTTTCTAAATGATTTTTCGGTGTCCTTAAAAATTAAATTATATTTCATGCAGAAAGATATTCATTCTTTCGCTCGGTTGGTGGAAGAGCATAATTCGGTTTTAAAAAGTTTCTAATTGCGAGATTTTTTAATATCTTGAAATGGCCGTTCATAAAACATCATGCCTCTGCATTTGTAAAGTCAACAATGTGGCCCAAATCCACCGCCAAATTTTATGGTTCCCATCTAATCTCCTCGTAATGCCTTAGAGATATGTATAGTTTTCCGTACGCAGAAAAAAATACGGCTTGTAGTTTCGAAATCCTATATGCAAGTGTAGGGGCAGGTTAGGTTCAAAACGATTTGGGGATTAGAAAAGTTATTGAAAACCGAATTATGCCCTTCATTCTAGCATAAAACTGGAAAAAGACACAGTTTTCCACCGAATAAGCAAAAGAATGAATATCTTTCTCTCATGTTTTCTATATTTTCTTAAGTAGTCATTTTTATGGAGTATATTATTTGCATTCGGCCGGAAAGAAGTTCATGCGAAAGCCTGCATCCCCAGATAACTGAATTATAATAGAATTATACTGCGCAATGATTAGTTTTACAACCCTACTTAATTTATCTTTTCAAAACGAAAAGCCATTTCAGAATTTCGCTTGACATTTCATGAGTTAGCCCACCTACTGTTCCTGCAGTTTTTCATGCACACAGCCCGGTAATCACAACCGTACAGGAATGGCGGTACACGCGACCTTCGTGGGCGATCGAGACGTCATTCTTGTTCTTCCCAAGGCATGCACACCACCCGAGGAGCATCTATCTGGGAGACGACGTCGTCCTTATCCCACCCATCGATAGTAGTCCCACCCGTGGAATGTGAAATTGTCTACTTGTTCAAATTGAGGAGTTTACTAATCTCCTGGGATGCAGACCAAAACAGGTCGGTTTCCCCACCAGCTGGCGAGCCCAATGCTTTGAGCAATACCTTGAGAAATCCTCAGCAATCCACCGCGCCTGGGTATGAAACTCGGATTGGCTAGCAACCGAGGTTGAAGTGAGCCCGCCTGATGAACCGGAAACGGCCATTCCAATATCAGCGGTCTTTGTCCGGACTGGTCTGCGACGATGTTCATTGACGAAGGCCGTTTCGGGTACCAAGTAGGTTATCAGGTGTCGAATTTATGCACGTTAGGAGAGTCCTGTTTCAACAAATCGAGAATGTACGGATGACAACAACAACAAGAACATCAGGGGAAATCGATGAGTGCATGTAGGCTGACAGTCGCCGGCGCCATCACGGAACTAGCGCGCATACAAGGCCTGACTGTACGTAAACAGGTACTTTCAGCTGCATCAAGGACTCCGGGTGTGTGTGGCGCAGTTAGTTAGAGCCCAGTCCGAATCATATGGAAGGCGAGTCACCAGCGTCAATCATGACCATTAAACGCACAAGGTTGGACTGCCAATTCGAGTAGGACGGGCAGAGCACGTACAGACAGCATCGAAAACATATACGCCCGAATACTTCGGCTACAGCCAGTCGAAATATCGATCGGCATCATAGGCCAGCAGTTGAGCAACGAAACTGAAAGACCCACTGCCACGGCAAGAGACGTCTGGAGTCGTTTATCGGATCTGGTGCAGTTGCGGACAAGCCAAAAACTTCGGCGAAAGCGGAGGACAGCTCCGAACGCGAATAGCCGAACACGCGGTAGCGGTGCGCAGAAATGACGCCAGCTCTCAAGTTACGGCTTATTCGATGAGATCCGGCCACACATTCAAATTTGACGAGGCCGAAATTCTCGCGAGAGGTGACAACCGCGTGAGCCGGGAGCTGCTTGAGTCATGGTTTACTGGTCCCCAGTCCATTAAGAAGTGCAATGAACTTCTTCCATACTCTGTGCTGAGACTTCGCCTAGGCGGAGTAATTGGCCACGCGGGGAGCGCACAGGTGAACACTTATCCCCGAGGGTCAGCGCGTCAGATGGTCGAGCAGTCATCACACCAACATCCAAACCACGTGATGAAATTGCAGCAATTAACGACGCGAATGTCGGCCATCACACCACCTGCAACGATCCCGGATGGAGGAGCCGTGAATGTTCATAAGTATGTGGTAGCATGGCGGCTGCATCTTATAAATACTGCAGCCTCTTGTGCGTGAATCACCCGTATCTGCTCTTGTCTCTGGTGATGGGTTCGAGCAGGAATCTGAAACGTCACGCTAATAAAGCTCTTGTCCCAGCGATCGTGTCTCCTTCTTCAAGACTACTTCCTGGGACTCGTCTCTTCGCTTCTCTGAACAACGTGTTAGACGACATAGGAAAGGGACGGCGTCGATGACCATGAGAGCAGGCAGATACACTCTGATCCCTGTTTGAGGCGTAAAGTGCGACCAAACGGCCGGGGATTATAAAGCTGAGCTGTAGCTTATCTCGAACCCAGACAGTTATCACAGATCGGTGCGTCTAGGGGCAAGCACGCGTAGACAGGCAGGTGTTGCTCAAGCTTTCTCTAAGACAACCTTAGTGCTGCACGTTCCCCAGTTTACACTTTTGCAGAACCAGATCAAGTCCTGTTAGATACCACTCGTTTGTATAATCACGTGAAGGTCCT